ATTATTTAAACCTAAGATTGATCTTCTTGCATCTGTATTGAATACACAATTACCTGATAATTATATATCATTATGTATCATGGTTTCCCGATCCAAATGCAGTTGAATTTGATGCATTTTCTTTATCATGGAATAACCTAATTGACTCATAGATTTTCTCACCTTTCAGTCGGATGGCAAGTGTTGCAGAAAATAGAGGACGAACAGGTAAAAAGAGTGCTGTTAGTATGTCAATTATGGACGACTCAAACTTGGTTCCCCACATTACTAGCAGCTTTAATAGACTTTCCAGTCAAGCTACCATTTCAGAAAGGTTTGCTAACTGTAGCACACAACAATGCTCTACACCCAATGAACAAGAGAAAGTTATTTCTGATAGGTTGTTGTGTATCCGGAGATATTTCCAAAAGAAATAAGTTTCAAAAGAAGCTTCAAAAATCATGGCAAAATCGTAGAGAAACTCCACTGCTAAACAGTACCAATATCCATGGAAAGCTTGGATGCATTGTTGTAGTAAAAAATATGTTGATCGGAATGCACCAAATGAATTAAACATTGTTAATTATTTGACAACTCTTTTTTTAGAAAGTAAATCTCACAGTTGCACCAATACACATAATTGTGCTATTTCACAAACTGTAGCGTCCCTTGGAAACTCTAAATTTGTAGATAATGCTTTCATTGCTGGATTCTTGAAAGGAATATTTAATCTCTCCACCCATTCCAAAATACAGATCATTTTGGGATGTGCAAAAAGTCTAGTTTTCCAGCAAAACAATTCCCATTAAGGGAAGGATATGGAGATAACAAACAGTATTCAATCTCAAAGTCCATAAAACAATACAAAATAAGAGCAGAGCAAACACGGACCTCCGAAACATCAGAGGTGGAATCAGGTGCCATGGAGGAGTAAGCATCCCCTGCTGACCGGTCACACCCGCCGTGTGCTCGTTGTCATAATCAGGAAATAACGGAAAAATCCGTCGTCAATTTAGTACATAAATAATGGACTAACAAGTATTAGTATGAAAAACGTCAGTCAGCGTTTGACTCAATGATTAATTGTATTTGCTGACAAGGTCATTGTATCGACCACAGAACTTACGAAATGATGACTTTAAACGAGACGGCTGATATTCTTGTTTCATCAACTTGCTTGTCAATAATTTACCTCGTTTTAGAAATTGTTCATACGTAGAGGAAGCTCGAATCAACTGAAATATATACACTCCGTATGCAGGTGACGAAGGTATATTGCTGTATAAGTAAGGGAAGTTGACGATAGAAAAGTTAAAGTCATCACGTTCATCATATAGCTTGGTTGTTAGATTACCATTAATGTCTTTTTCGAGTAAAATATCCAAGTATGAAGCAGATGTGTCAGACTCTTTGGTATCTATTATCTCGAACTCACCATGATATATCGTATCGACGTAGGAATGGAAATCACAATTGATAATTCACAATATGTCGTCGATATATCTAAATGTCGAGTTGAAGGCCACAGCAAGTGTTTTCTTCTTTTTACGCATAAGAGTTTCCACAAATTCTGCTTCATTTGAATATAAAAATAGTCCCGCTTATAACGGAGCGCAATTGGTACCCATTGGAATTCCAATAGATTGTTGGAATACCTGGTCTACAAAAACCACGCAGATATTGTCAATCTAAAACTCGAGCATTTCTTTGATGTCAACTTAGTACTTTTGTGTGCAATCAGAATCTGTTTTAACAAAACAATTTTGTAAATGACCAATGACCAGGTAAGTAAATTTACGAGTTCCATTTTTATTAAAGAAAGCAGCTGGCAATGATATCAAAAAGCCTGGACTTTAATTAAAAGTGGGGAATGGTTGTATATAAAGTTGAAAAGTCGTAAGTTTTTAAGCTGTTGATTTTTGTAAAACCTTGTGATTTCAAATTGTCCAAAAGTTCTTTGGAGTATCCACATCTGATTCACACCACTTCTTGAATATATAGTTGCACAGTACTCCTGAAGTTTTTCCTTCACTTCTGTCGATATCTTAGCGAGGAGTAACGAAAGAGACTTGGTTGAACATTGACTGGAACCCGCAATGTATCTTTGTTTGGACGGATTTTTATAAAGTTTAGGAATCCATTATATATAGGGTAGTTCAAATTCCTTTGGCTCTTTGGAATAATAAATGAATTAAAACTGGGAATGCTGACTTATAAGACTACCGCACTATTAGTTTTGACTTCAGCTCAAAGATCTCAGACTGTGAGTTTAATGAATGTTGACAATATGAATATTACAGAAAACTTTAAAAGCTTTTCTACTCAGGATTTGCAAAAAAACTTCAAAATTGGGAAATATGAATTCATTGATAAAAATAGATGCATTTCACGATAAATCCATTTGCCCTCTGTTTACATTAAAACACTACTTAGAGAGAACAAAAGAAAAAAAGATCTTCTAAACTTTTAATTTCTTTTAAGACATTTTAAAAGTAACATCGAGTTCAATAGCAAGATGGCTAAAAAGAGTGTTGGGACTTTTTGGTATGGATATTTTTATATTTCAACCACATTCTTTCAGGGGCGCATCATGTGCAACAGCTTACCTGTAGGGAGTCACCTTAATGGACATACTGTCAGCAGCGAACTGGTCTTCAGCTTCTTCATTCCATCGGTTTTATAATAAAGACATTCAGGATCAAAATCCGTTTTCTTCAGCTGTCATCCAGGAAGGATAGAATGTGAGTGTGAAGGACAATCATGGACATTATAGATGTATAGTTTAAGAGGATTCAATTTTTCATTGTGATGAACTTTATACGCCTGGTGTTTGTGAAAGGAAGGTTTTAATGATAAGCGGTTATAAGCGGGACTATTTTTATATTCAAATAAATCTTACTTTCCTGCGTCAGACGAAGTATTGCGTTATTATTGTCTCTACCGAGTGCTGTATATCATATGTCCTTCTACACCGATGTCGACTGATTACATTACTGAAAAGTGACAATGCTCTGCCCTTTGTATAGGGTTCTGTAGGTATAGCAATTCTCCGAACAAAAATGGCGAACTTATTCCTTTTACGAATCGTGTTCAGCTTTTAACTATCAAAATTGATTCGTAAAAAAAAAGAATAAAAACCGTACATTAACACACAAGCATTTTTCTTGATTTTATAACTGAAGGCCTGCCTTCAAACTAATTTTCAAGTTGCACATGAAGATAGATTTATAGGTACATGAAATGATCAAAAATAATAATTAATTAATATGCATACCTTGAATAAATTTCTTAAAAAGATTAACCATTTATAATTGAGTTGTACGATGTTGTGTTTTAAGGACAGGTAACTCGAGTTTGAAAAATGACAAAGAAAGTGCCGATTTTTTTGTTATCGTTTATCTGTTTTTACCTTGTGTTAATATTGAATTATGTTTTATTTAATATATCATTTCCTTTGAAACAGGATAAGGACAGTCTAATTGACACTGCAAAATGAATCCGCTCATTAGGTGTTAATGCATCGGGATTTGTTAGTATTGTATCAAGAACTTTATTTTTATACCGGGGGTAATTACTTTATAACCTCTTTCATGTCCATTCTGTCAAAGAAACACACCTGTCCATCAATTAACTAAACTTTTGACATAGGTCAACTATTGTTTACTCTTAATCTTACAAATATTTATGTCCTTTATAATTTCTTAAGTTTGGTAGCCCGATGCTCTACCGACCACATTCACCGCGATTAAGCCTCATTAGATAGTGTTAAAATTATGTTTGTTATTCACCATCATCTTTAATAATTTCGGAAAGCTGATTTACCAATTCTTGGACGTTCTATTGGAAGACCAGAAAGAATATGGCACCTTTACCTTTTAACGTTTTATTACGAGCCCACAACGCCACTACTTACTTTTACCCCAAAAAATTCCTTACCCTCCCCCCCCCCCTCCCTTTTACGCTCAAGAACGGATTTTGTCCAGGAATCAGTCTCATGACTTATAACCTAAATCCAATTGGTTTTAATTTCATTGTATTGCGAGGACATATTTCGGTTCATTGAAACGGTATTAACAATCAAGTTGTACGTGTATAAACGCGTGTCTGCTCAATGGAATCGCAAGGCCACGGAAATTGTTATGGAAGGAAAAAAAAATCATAATTCGTGTTTGGTCCATCATATCTTCCTTATGCAAAAGAAATTATATATGTTATATATTCATAACATGTTATCAGTAAAGTAACCCTAACATGTTTTTAAATAAATCGGATCGAGTGATGGCCTTCTTGTTTGAACGTAATGTTTTATGCGTTTATCATGTTTATATATAGTTTGCAATTTTCTCGTTATGCAAGAGCACTCACATAAACGTTTTGTTTTGTTTGATAGGCGGGGTAGCGTCGCCTTTAATTAAAACTATACTTTAATTATCCCTCAGCCTTTCATATTAAAACCGGAATTATTACCTTTTTGACAATACACATGTAATATTCGAAAATTTAAAAAAAAAGTCGAAAACAAGTCAAATTTTCTCTATGTACTTTTTCAAGATGTAATTATCAGAAAATTAAAGGAAACCTTAATAGCTGTGTTTACGTTGTACATGTAAGTGTATGCAAATTGTCAGTGGTGCATAAGGCCCGACATATTTAAATTTATCGACCCAGGAGGTAATAGCGAAGTCTTTCTTGCTATCAAATATGCAAACTAACGCATTTATAATTGAACGATTACTTTCGTCTCATGAATACTCAAATAACTCATAATAATTCATTTTGAATAATTGAAAGTACTTTTCAAATTATCTTTAAACTTTTTTCGAACTTCATAATTTCTTTTTAAAAAGCTGGTATTTTTTAATTGTTATGTAAACAACTTTTCATTTGATAAAATATACATCGATATTTTTAATGGGACTATTTTTTTTTTTTACATGAAAAGCTTTATTATAAGCAAATGTCCTTTTTAAAATACAATAAATACAACTTATCGCAAGATAAGTTATTTTGCCTACATATATAAAAATTGAGGAGTGTCCATTTATTTGTATCTTCTGACGACAGCAAACAAACATCCACCGACTTCGAGTTAAAAGAAGGTATTTTGCACAATCTGTCAACACTTTATAACCTGTAAAGTCTTATTTGCATGAATTTCCCAAGAGATTAGAAGGAGGGATAAATGTTTATCAAGTATGAATTTGGGCTTGAAAATTAAAAATTTTACTTTTGTTTTTGTTGTCGTTAAATTTCATTGTCACTGATTCACATGCAGACAGACTCGTATTTGTATATAAAATCTCTTTAATGTATGATACATGCTGAAAATATTTTTTACTCATATATGTATATATACATTCGCTTTATATATGCTGAAATTTCATGAAATTATCCATTTAAACTTTAATATATATTCATACATTAAAATATAAGATAAAAGGAAAATAGATCAGTAAAACCTGCACTTTGTGTGCCTTATAAAAAAAACTCATTCTAGTCGATGGTACTGTAGCTCTCGGATCTTCCCTCCATGTTTAAACATATTGTTATTGGCCAAAAACTGAAAAGATTAGTATATACTTTATCATAACACAATATTTCTTTTAAACAGGAAGGCAACAGAAATGTCGATACTTTTGATCGTTAAATTTCTGACATGCTGTGCTCTAATCGCCATTTTCCCTACAGGTAAGAGGAAGGAGTATATTGTTGAAGTAAAAGTAATATACGTTCTTATACCTTTAAAAATTTGTTCTTCTACAAATCGATACGAAAAAAAGTCTAAATTTCTGATGTTCTGCTGAGGTAGCATAAAAAAAAAAATCAATGCTTGACCACTGAACGAGATGTTGGACCGGTCGAGATGTTGAACCAATTACGTCACAGAATGGGCGGAGCTAAATCTCATTTTCATTTGTTGGTGTTTAACAGTGACATTTATTGACTTTGTTCTCGGGTAGAATGCGTTGCGTCGACCCTTGAACCAAACTGTTTGGTTCTTAGGACCGAAAACCGCATGTTGCCCTCGAACTAAGTCAATAAATGTTTAATGTTTCAAAATTAACATAAATTGTACCGATAGATAAGGGGTTCATATTGTTTCGTCCTGTCTGTCGGTCATCAACTTTAACCTTCTCCCTAACTTTGAACCATGAGAGATAGAGAATTCATATGTAATATGATTTTTCCACTGATTAGGCTCTTTCAAATAAAATGGCTTTGCAGCCTTGACCTAGATGCAAAACATAGCTAACTCGAACTTTGGTTCTACCGGGTTCATAGTGTTTCACAGAAACATCTTTGTTTTTCCATATTTCAGGTTGCGAATCCCAGAATTGTTCGTTATCCGAGAAGCTAAAATGTGACGGGGACTATCAACAGAAAGCGACAGGGCACGTGTTTTCTTGCAGGTTTGTTCTATATTACATTATATGCAATTGATGATAAACGCTGGCATGAAATTGTCAAAGTCCTCAGGGACTAAAAAGACCAGTTTGTTCTTGATTGATATAGATATTATTATGAATCTGAGAAATAAGATACTGCGAGATGCTTTTTTACCAAACATTTCGATCAAACAACCAACTTTACATAATTGTTCGGATTTTCTAAACGTTATCCTCATTCTTACATTCTTTTCCCCATTCGATACTGGATTAAGATAATATTTGATCAAGCAAACCGTTTCATCATATTTACTCTTTCCTTACACAGCGCCGCGGAGGACTACCTAAACTGTTTGGACAAAGTTCATACTGCATGTGAATCCTATCCTAATGTTATGAATTCTAATCTGGTGAAAAACCAAGCTGGAACCACTATAGATGAAATGGAGAACAACAGGAAGAGATATGGATGCAGTGAGAATTTATTTTTTATTTCACAAATATAATTTAACAATTTTAATTGATTTTAACACGTGCCGGTTCATAAAACTCGGCACTCAGGGACATCGAGCAGCGAGGGATCTTTTTCGTGCCTTCTGCAGGACTAGATCTGAGTCTAAAGGGTTTCAGTCGAAGGACCAGTCTCCACGTCCCGCAGCTGGAGATGATTATTTTTTTCATCGTTTCAAAATAAGCAATGACTTGAATTGTTTGCCAATTTTTTAAATGCCTTATTTATTATTTTTTTTATTCATATTTTTTATTCTTTATTTTTTGGCAGTACAAGTCCTTGTTAGTGGTACCGGAGGACCAGAAACTGGCAAACTCACATTTACTGTAGGATTGTTGCTCTCTTTGTTAATTATGAAGACAACTGCTTTACTGTAACAATTGCTTTCGAATTATTGGTATTATTTGAGCTTGAGATAACACTTAAGTAATTCTTATGTAGTACAACTTCAAAGGGACTTCTTAGAAGAGTTACTGAAATGTTTTCATTGTTTGTTTGAAAGACATTTTCTGACAATAAAAAAAATAATCTTTATGTATATTACTTTATGATCATTTTTCTTTGCTATATGATTTGAAAACTGTCACTTTTTACCATCGATAGTATATCTAAATAATTTTTTTTAACGTTTCTCGGGTCAAATATTTATGTTTCTCAGCTTCTTTATGTGTGTCAGTCTTACATCGATAATTGAATTACGTATACCAATCGTACAAAATTAATGCACTTTTAAATGTTTAATTTAGCTTTCGAAATAAAGTAACCTGCAAATAATTATCAGAGTATGGTTATTTTCATTCAAGGAAAGAAAACGTGTTTAGTTGTAGATCAGAATGTCTTTTGTGGGAATGATTGTTATTAAATTCTGGTCGTTGTTCATCTTTAACCAGGAAACTACAATTGATTGGTTCTAGGGTGATGGTGTATCTCTAATTACGACATAGTATTATAATGTATACAATCCCTAAAAATCTTGTCTCTTCTGCTAATGAACACATAAAGACAGTTCGTAAATTTGACGGGCGATAAGGCGTATTTCAACAATTGGAAATTTCATGGCCCATCGATGAAAGTTTTGTAGAAGTGGCAGAAATCAGCCGACAGTTTTTTTTTTTTATCACCGGTGACCAGATAACTGTGCTGTTAAGACACCTGAATCGAGAATTAGGGATCCGGGTTCGAATCACGACCTAGTTGCTACATGTACATTTGTATCCCCCAGTTACATATGGTGCCGTGACCAGTGTGTGACAGGTGATTGATTGTATATTGTTCAACGTCCCTCTCGAAGACTGTTTCACTCATATGGAGACGCCTGTGAAAGACCTGCCAGGGAAAAGTCTCTGTTGGCATCCATTTGTTCTGAAGACCTTGATGGAGGAAGGAATCTGACGTTCAGATTGTGTTTGATCGCCCACCCTTCTTTTAGTTAATATAGTAAAAACGTGAAACTTTGAAAACTATAGTTAACCATGATAACTTCGAAACGTGCATTGACTTCAGTAATAACTAGTTTGATAAACTATACAGGTAACTTTTATCACTATGGAAACTTTGAACAACTAGAGTGATGACTATTGACTATAAGTTTGATTCACTTTGTGATGACCTATCGCAAATCTCGCCTGAAAGTATTACACTGCAGGCGAAATAGCGTTGCCTTGAGTGCTGACACTATTGGATTTGACAACTGAACAATCTAAATCACGGGTTTCATTCCATAAAACATGCGTTTTAATTGGTTGATTAGGACCCGCCCACTCTTGCTCAGTATTCTTTGCCTAGTTAAGTTGGAAAACGTCCAAAGGCCTTGTGATTGTCGAAAACCGATGGTGATTTTTTGAACAAAAAACACAGACAAACAAACTACAAAATAACTTTTTTAGCATGTGATATATTCCTCTCACAGACTGTAATTGTTTATAGCGTTCGATGACACACCTATTTTCATTTTATTGTACATGTCATTCTGCCGATTTTCTATTAACAGCTTTTTACATTATTGGTGTTGCACCGCGTACTTACGTAGAAAGCATGCCCAGCTAATACTTGAGCACCTGATGAAAATATATATATCATTCAACTAATAGACAATCTTATATTGACGGTCAACAGAGCGTCTTGTGCTACAGTGAAGTCGCCAAATCCGGGTCACGTCAGGGTGTTTCGTTGATATTTTGCAAAGCTGTTCGATTTATATTTTATGCAATATATGTATTGAAAGAACAAATAGTGAGTCATCCAAAAACCTTTTTGTTTTCAAAGTAGCTACACGGGAACAATATTTACAGGGGTATTTCAGCAAGGCCTAGCTTCCCCAGTTACGAATCATTTTCTCCATTTCCGGGTCACGGTCGTGTAATATTCATGGAACGTTTCGGAACACGATTTTTATGACGTTGAAAAATAAAACAATTCACGCAGCTTGGAAAAAGAGTAAAACAACCACAGAAATATGTTTAAATTATTTTAAAACAATTACAACAAAACAAATTGCAGTATACAGAATTAAAAAATGTATTAGGATTAAAAAATAATACAATTAAATTCAACAATTAAAAAAATGCATTTGAAGGGTTAACTCGATTTTAATTTTTAGAAAAAATATTTTCCAGTTAGAATACTTATGATAATCAAGGTAAATACACGGTTGTCGATTGGTTTTGTACATAAAATTTTGACATGTTCATGCCACGAGATAGCGTGACCGGCAATTGGAGAAACTACTACAGTTTGATTTAATAATCATTTTAAATTTATTTGAGCAGCGATCATTATGATTGATTTCTGAGTTAAAACTATTATTTATCTAAAACTTTTATATCAGCCTTTCTGCAGCGAACAAAAACGAAAGTAGCCTGTCACCGCAACAGAAATATCCAAGTCTTTAATGCGTGCGTTTCAGAATTTCGATTGTCGGATGCTCTCTTAAAGTTTATATTCAAAATTTTGTAATTAATTACATACAGAAAGACCAGTTCTTCACGACCAGCATATTCATTAAGTTTTTTTGCGCTTAAATTTTAACACTAGGCATAAAATACACGCGAGTGACCCGGAATTGGAGACGACCCGGATTTGGCGACTCCGCTGTATTACAATTATAGCATTTGTCCTTATGTTTTGTACTATCTGGGGACTCGATCAAGAAAGACTTTACTAAGAAAACTACCATTTCATTTCTGTACTAAAGATCTGGTATTTTTGGGGGGGATTATTGTTCTTCTGTATTCATTAAAAGTTCCTTACAGCGTTATTACACCATTTAACTCCAAGCAAACTGCTCTCCGATGCGTCGTAACGTCATCAATCGTCACTAATTCTCGTGCGATGTGTTCGCCACTTTCTCATTTCGAATGCTCAAAAAACTGCCAAAAGGTAACCAAATGCCTTGAAAATTGTTAAAAATCGACAAAATAAATTGTGGAATCGAATAACGATAATTTTCCCCCTAATCTTATCTATTTATACCTTTTACTTCTAATCAATACTCGTTTGTTCTCTTATAAAACCTTCATGTTTTGACCGTGTGCCGTAAGACCTTATCCTGCACATTCAAGCATAGTAAAATCTTTATTTTTGTCTATATTTTATCCAAAAAAATTATGATGCACTTAAATATGACAAATAAATATTCAGTGAAAATTTCAACTTAATGCGTCCATTATTTTTTTTTTAGATAAATGCTTTGTCCACGATTTTTCCGGACAACCCTCGTTTATGTCTTGTCGATTTTTGTTGGTTTCCTTCTGTTTCTTTACCTTTTAGGTCACAAGAGCTATTGCTGCGTCATCCGCCGTGTGTTCACATTTAAACATTTTCAGCTTCTTCTCTGAAACCTACGGAAGCTAGTAGGTGCCAGGTAGAAAAGTATTTTATCTGGCGGCTGCCAGATCTTTTTATCTGGCGACCACCAGAAAGTAATTTGGCAGCCGCCAGATAAAATATTTTGATTACCTGGCACCAATCGTCTTCTGTAGGAACCACTGAACCAATTTCAACAATTTGGTATATATCATTTATGGATGAGGGAAAGTATAAACTATTAACTTCATGGACCCTACCCCCCTGGAGCCTAAGAGATGGGGCTAATACCACTAAAATTAAAGCAATCGTAAAAATTATCCTCTTTATCCCTGGACATCAAGCAGCTAAATTGTTGGCATGATTGTAATCAGCATTTAGTCTCTACCAAAATTATCGATTTCATGGCCCCTCTGTCTGGGGTTCTGGTGTACGGGCGGGACTCTAATATTATATAGTGAAAACGCAAAAATTGTTCGAAAATCTTCTCTGCTTCTGGGTAATAAACCAATGAACTATATACATAGGTATGATTAGAAATGCTGCCTCTTCTAAAATTAAAAAAATCATGGCCTCTAGTTCAGGGTTCCGGTTTAAGGGCGGGGCTGTACTGAGTGTACAGTGAAAATGATTCAGTCTTCGAAAATCTTCTGTGCTCCTTGGTATTTAACCAATGATCCGTATAATGATGAGGAATGCTGCTTCTTCTAATTTTGTGAATTTCAGGGGTTCTGGTGTTAAGGTACTACATTGATGATCAAGTGCATAGTCATGATGAGAAAGTTTAAGGTTGCTTCTATCAGAATTGTGAATTTTTAGCCTCTTGGACAGGGGTGCCTAGGGAGGGGTGGGGTGGGGGACTTTATTGATATACTAGATATTTAGGGAGAGGGCGATTTAAGTTTTTAGAACGTGTGCACAATCCCATTGTGTATATTTAGTACAATAAAATATGTTCATATCAAACTGATATACTGAAAATGAATTAATGATTCAAAATCTGCTTTTTGTAATTAAACATTTCTGATGAGCCAGGGTGCCTTTCCAAAATTGTCTAATGTATGGAACCAGGGTCAAGAGTTCCTGTTGCGTGGGACACTACTGAATATATAGTTGAAATGCTTCCTCTGCTATGGCTATGGGTATGAATTAATCAAAGTAAGCATGCCAACTGTCACGCTTTAATGAGCAATGGTGCTTCTTTCAATATTGTTAATTTCATAATCTCTGGCTTAAAACACGAACCAAATTCGTTTGTTTAAAAGTTGTTAAATGATACTCACACGGCGGGTGTGGCCGGTCTGCAAGACATACTCCTCCATGGCACCTGATCCCACATCCGATGATTTGGTTTGCACTGCTATTTTGTAATGTGTATGGACGTTTGATCTTGATTACTTTCAGTTATTTTTTATGCCCCCGTATATGAAGTTTCGGGGACATATAGTTTTTGTTTTGTCGTGTCCGTTCGTCTGTCTGTCTCTCTGTCTGCAAAAACTTTAACCTTGCCCATAACTTTGATTAGAGATATGACTTTCATTTTTCACATGTGTATTCCTTTTGAAAAGACCTTTCTGTGGGTACCACCAAATTTGACTTTTTGACCTTGGCCATGGAGTTTCACTTAATTTTATACAAAAATTCCAAACTTTTACTTTGGCCATATCTTTTGAACAGTAAATAACAGGACATTTATTCTTCACATATATATTCTTTGAGAGAAGACCTTTCATTGGATACTAACAATCATGACCTTTTGACCTTGACGATTTCCGTCCTTGTGAAAAAAACTTTTAACAATGGCTTTACTTTTGAACGGTACGGGATAGGAATTTCATACTTCACATATGAAAGTCTTGTGAGAAGACCCTTCATTGAATTCCAGGAACTTTGACCTTGGAGTTTACCTTCTTTTAAAAAGCAAACCTTGACCATAACTTTAAAAGTGTTATTGCTAGT